TATGTGTGTGTGTTTTTTCTCGAGATGTTCATTATTAAAGCGAACATACGCATACTTTAATTGGATGTATGATTTAAACATGAATTGATTTCCCTTTTTTCATGAAGAATTCTGTTTTGTACAAACTGTAATACCTAATATACTGTCAATGAAGATGAAAATGGAAATTAACATAAAATGTATAATTCTTTCAAATACATAGATTTCTAGTATTATTATTACAACATTTTGTAAAAGGACCTTCATGAGAAGATAGGCTGTAGTATTTCCCTATGATTATCTGGTTTTCATTCCGAAATCGAATACGGTTAAAGGAAATATTATTATGAAAAAAATCTGTACTCATAAATTTAGGTTGACCTCCCATTTCGGAGTAGGATTTGTTTGCTGTAGGCATAGGTTAATTCTATTTCCTATTGGTGGGGGAAACGTTCTCCATCACTTCCGTACACTTCGCTCGATGGCCTGAAGAAAGAGGAGAATTCATTCCAGCGGCCCAGAAGATAGAAAAGTATCTCGCGATGACACGGCAAGTGATGAAAAACGCGCGCAATTGGATATGGGTCATGTTTGGGGTCCTATTAGGCCGTGCCATTTGCAACCAAGCAAATCTCGCCTTCAGTCCCATGCATAGCCAAATGCGTAACCTTTCCGTTCCATTTTGCCGTACCCCTAAGGAAACCCCTCCCGAATACCTCGTGTGGTGTATTGATAGATGTATAATAGCCTAGATTACCGTCATACCTGAGGAGTATCGTGTTTTTAATATGATTAATAAATAGGATCTTGGCATTGTGGGGTCTTGGAGGCGGAAACGCAAGTGAGAGTCATATTAAAGCTGAACTGTTTTAATACAGTTGTTGCAATTTAGGTTAAAGGTCTTAGGTCCAACTAAACTTTTTTCTTCATCAGATTGGTGATTGATTTTGAAATTTATTTATTTATTTATTCTACACAGGGTAGTATCTTCATTACACGAAAACTGCTTTGCAAGAGAACCCCGTAGGGCTATAACATATAATACAATAAACTACAATGTAAAACAAACTAATTAAGAAATAGTACAATATTAATATACATAAAAAAAGGATAAAGGCCTAGAAATGGGGCAAGATAAATGAAAGCGAATGAAGTAGTTGACTAATTCAGATCATTCTGTGAACCATTTAATTATTTTTACTAGACTAAATATGGCAATCGGTTCCCGATGAAAACGGAAAGAAAATTGAGACATGCAAAATTTACAACAACAACTTCAGGCCTAGTGTGATATCCTCATCATAATATCGCTAGTCTAAAGAGTATCATAACACTCGAACACAATCTACAGTTACATCCTCAAAGGACTTCAATAACATATTCAGTTAAATTAGGAAAACATTCGGACAGAGTTTAGAGTAGGCCTATGGGAGGAGGGTCGGGTATCCGAGAGAGATATTATAAGGCACGCGGGCATGTATCTGTTTGCGGTATAGCATAACGAAAATGAAGATGATCATTGAGAAATGGTTCACACTTTCATTACCTGGTTTTGGACTGGTTTTGCAATCATAACACTCGAACAGAATTTACAGTTACATCTTCAATAACATATTCAATTAAATTAGGAAAACACTCAGAGTTGAGAGTATAGGAGGAGGGTTGGATGTCGGAGAGAGATAAACGGCACGCGAGCATGATATCTGTATGAAGAAAAATGAAGATGATCCTTGAGAAATGTTTCTCACTATCTCGTTTCATTCGTATAAATGCCTGGTTTTGGACTGGTTTTGCAATTATAACACTCGAACAGAATCTACAGTTACATCCTCAATAACATATTCAGTTAAATTAGGAAAACATTCGGAACAGAGAAAATGTTAATTTAGATTATGGGAGGAAGGTTGAGTATCGGAGAGAGATAAACGGCATGCGAGCATGTTATCTGTTTGCGGTAGTATGAAGAAAAATGAAAATGATCCATGAGAAATGTTTCACACTATCTCGTTTCATTCGTATAAATGCCTGGTTTTGGACTGGTTTTGCAATTATAACACTCGAACAGAATTTACAGTTACATCTTCAATAACATATTCAATTAAATCAGGAAAACATTCGGACAGAGTTTAGAGTATGTGGGAGGAATCTACAGTTGCATCCTCAATAACATATTCAGTTAGATCAGGAAAACACTCAGACAGAGTTGAGAGTATGGGAGGAGGTTTTGGTATCGTAGAGAGATAAAAACAACGCGAGCATGATATCTGTTTGATAGCATGAAGAAAAATGAAAGTGATCCATGAGAAATTGTTAACACTATCTCATTAACTTCTTATAAATACCTGGTTTTATTGACTGGTTTTGCAATCATTACACTTGAACAGAATCTACAGTTGCATCTTCAATAACATATTCAATTAGATCAGGAAAACGTTCGGACAGAGTTGAGAGTATATGGGAGGACGGTTTGGTATCGGAGAGAGATAAAAGGCACGCGAGCATGTTATCTGTTTCAGGTATAGCATGAAGAAAAATGAAAGTGATCCATGAGAAATTGTTCACACTATCTCATTAAATTCTTATAAATACCTGGTTTTATAGATTGGTTTTGCAATTATTACACTTGAACAGAATCTACAGTTACATCCTCAATAACATATTCAGTCGGGTATCCGAGGTCGGGTATCCGAGAGAGATAAAAGGCACTCGAGTATATTATCATCTGTTTGTGGTAGCATGTAGGAAAATGAAAATGATCCTTGAGAATTTTTCACACTATCTCGTTACATTCGTATAAATACCTGGTTTTGGACAGGTTTTGCAATTAATCGCATTCTCGGTTCTGGAAAGTGACAGACATGGAGTCAACGTACATCGTACATTCAAATCATTATGGGCGTGTGATGTCTAATAAAATATAAGACTTGATTTTTGTAGAGATAGAATATGTCTATAATAATTATTCGTATGGAATGGCGATGCCAGAAGGAGACTTAAAATTTAGCAAGATGGTCATCGATTAGCAACGTTATTAGTCACATCAATGATTACATCTACCTCTCTGTCGCTTTATCATTGTGGTTAATTTTGTTCTAATGACTCTGTTACATATTAAATCATGGTCATTATTTTATTGAAAAGCTTCAGATCATTAATATTGTTGATGAATAATACGCGAATTAGGACAACAAAATCAATTTACATATTTTGAATATAGAAATGATCGAACAGTGAAGCTTGAAATTGACATTACAGTTGCCATGACTGTATAGTTCATATTCTTTTCAAACGATTCTCCGTTTGTACTGCAGACACAAACATCGACAAAATGATATTCGTTGACCTTGCTTATTATCCATCATCTTGCTATATCCAAAAGATAAGAAAGACACTGAAACAGCACATTGTCCTCTGTATGACTTATTATTACCATACTACGCGACCAGGGATATTTTTCTCGAAAAAACCATTGCCATTATCATATCAATCGACATCTCCGCAATAACCCAACGCCATGCACCGCCACTATATCGAAGACAAATATCAACAGAATACTGTCATTCTAAGAATAGACTTAATGGAAGGGCATTCGAATCATGACACTATGGCAATCCTTTCAACGTCATAGTCATTAACAAAAAGCATGCAAGCGTGAGGAGTGAGATCTTTTTTTTTGTAACCTTCAACATCACTCGCTGAATGGAACAACCAAGAAATCAATCTCGTTAATGAATCCATTATTTCTGTCCATGAAAATTTTCCGATGTAATTCTCCATCACTGGAATTCCCCAAGCATTCCCTTGCTTTTCCATAAACCTTTTATGATGCAATTTCTCGTTGAGCTTGATGGGTACTCAATCCACCGTTTTTTAATTGCTCCATTTAAAATCTTGATTAAGTCTGTGCAAAGAGTGAACTGATGAATTTGTAGAGATACAACTTAATATAACTCTGATGACACACGAATAACAGCCATCTATATCTTTCTCTTAAATGTATCTCTTCTTCCTTCGAACTCTCTCCCTCCCCCTGTCTCTCCAATCTCTCCCTTCCTTTCTTTCTTTCTCTCTCTACCTCTCTCTCTATCCCCTCTTTATTTCCCTCTCTACCCCTTGCCACCCCTTTCACTATGTCTCTGTCTCTGTCTCTCTGTCTCTGTCTCTGTCTCTCTCTCTCTGTCTCTCTTTCCATCTGTGCTGTCTCGGGTCTCAGTTTATTATCTTTTTCTTCTCTATCATGTAAGATCAATCGTCATTTAACATTTAAAACTAGAACGAATACTGGAACAAATGCCAATAAACGGCCGGTTGGGTTATAAATAGAAAACATATATTTCTGTGTTTAAAATGCAAGGAAGTCAATGACTCATTCTAGAAATGAATCAATGCATACGTGATTCTTTATAGCATTTACAATCGATATTTTCTCCTACTTGCATCCGTCAACCCGTATGGGAAACACATCTTCCTGTGTGGGTTGTCCCGAGAGATGGCGCTATGCCAAAAATGTATATCTACAACGAGCAGCAACCGCTGATTTTCTTTTATGTCAATAGTCAAGACAAGTGGCAGCAACTTATACCGCATGACACTGCGTTTGATTTGTAGGCACATCAGGACGCTCTTTTATATGCACAATTATGTTATCTTTCATTCAATCAAAAATCTAAGGCTTCTAAAAATTTGTTTTACTAAAGACTACTGATTTCAGTGCTTCTATCACCCCCCCCCCCATTTTGGGCGGATGGGAGTGGGGTGGGGGGGGGGGGGCACTGGAATATGGATATTATTAAAAGTTTGCAATATTGATTGAAAAAGCTAATATGCATTTTTCAAGAGTCATAATAATATATATTCTGTTTCCCTCTTTATATTTCATTATGTAAAATGTACTTATAATTATGTGACAAAAAAATGAAATCGAACAATATTGATAATTTTATGAGTATGTTCTTGAATATCCAACCGTTTATGATGTCATTATTATAACATCCCTTTCCATATTTTGTGTTCTTCTTCAGGTCCTCTTGCATCGTTCCTGGCCAAACGATATGGATCACGAGTGGTCATCATGACCGGAGGGTTTCTGACCGCTGCAGGGGTGATGATGACCGGATGGGCGAATAGTGTGGCGATGGTAGGGGTTGGAGTCGTCTTGTTAACAGGTATCTACCATCTTCTCGACTTTACTCATCTCAGTCTGTCCATCCATTCTTTGTTCTTCTTCGTTTTATCGTTACGATTTTTTTTGTATACATAAATTTATGAAATCAAACTGAGTGATAAAGCTCAAAGGGGGATTCCATGACATTTGCTCCGGCGACAATTGCTCCGCTGTAAATTTCATACACTAATCGAATGACTAACTTCAACCCTGGATTCAACACTATACCCTACCCTAAACCTAACCCTAAACCTAACATAAAACCCTATTGAAACCCTAACCCTAACCCTACATCTTAGACGAAATAAAGCCCGGAGCAATTGTCGCAGGAGCAAATGTCGTGTCACCCAAAGGGGACGCCAATTTTATTCTTTCATACTTTGTATCATACGTGTCATTCTATTGTACCTTCTATTGTATGTTTGAAATGCCAAATAAATAATAATAATAATGAAGAGTTCATGACAGCTTCTCGGTCCAGTGGAAACCTCTCGCAGCAATCATATCATGTAACTAGATTTCAGAGAGCCATTTTTGAAAGGCATATTGCAAAAGCAAAATAAAAATATCCGTCAGTAACATGCCGTGACGGAATGAAATTGCTCACAAAATTATAGTCCTTCTAGTAGTAGAGGCGTGACTAAACCATTAGCAACTTGTGGACGACCGTTGGACCTTGCCAACGTCACCGAAAAGTTTCCAAAATGAAACGAGCCTTAAAAATGGGTTTTGTTGCGTTGCCACAAGGAAAAAAAGAAATTATTTCATAGTATTCCTTTACCGACCTTGTTTGAACAAAATAATACATTTTTGAACAAAACTGAATTTTGTTATTACAATTATGTTTTTAAATCTTCTTTTTCTAGGTGTCGGCTCAGCTCTGGTTTACATCTCTACCTTGATCTTTATCCGCCATAACTTTCCTGATTCCCGCCACTACGCGTTAGCCAATGGGATCACAGTATCAGGGTCTTCACTGGCCGTCTCTGTCTTTGCACCAATCACACGCCTTCTTTCAGACACCTACAACTGGCGCGGTGCCCTCCTCATATCATCCGCCATCATCCTACATACCATGGTCTTTGGTGCGCTAATGAGAAACCGGAAGGCCATACCGAAAGGTCATAGAGAGCGCCTCAACGACAGTGCATCCGCAATAGCACTCATAGACAACCACACGAACTCATCAAGAGTGACGTTAAACGGTGGTTCGTCACCGGTCATAGAGAGTATATCAAATGGGCATGGGAGTGGGCATCATCTAGAGAACGGCAATGGACTATATGCAGAGAGTACCTTGATGACGAGTTTTGATGGAAGCGAAGCTCATGAAATGACAGAGAGCTTTGAACACCACGAACACCACGAACACCACGAACACCATGAACACATGCAACCAGAGGTTGTTCAAAGAACTAAAGAACCCATTCTTGCGGATAAACGTTCGACCCTTCTTCATGGTCTCCTTCTCTTCTCAATATTTCTCTCTACCTCATCTTACTCCGCTGTCTTCGTATACCTAGCAGCCGCCGGGACGGAGAGGGGTCTCACACCTATAGAATCAGCTGGTCTCCTCTCGGCGACGGGGATCTCGCAAGCCGTAGTCCGGTTCGGCCACGGCTTCCTGGTCACCGTTGGATGCATCAAACCTCTTCCTCTCTACATCATTGTGCAATTCATCATGACAATCGGAATCCTTGTCCTCGGGGTCTTTCAGCGGTACAGCGTAGGCTGTTTCGCAGCCATTTTGTTCGGGATTGGGACGGGTAGTGTCCGGTCTCTCAATGTCGTAGTGCAGAGAGAGGTCGATAAAAGGGCTGGATCAACTGCTCTTGGTATAATAGGACTAGTCAGTGAGGTTGCCGCAGCTGTCGGAGGACTATTTGCAGGTAAATTAAGAACTGTATTCCTTTCTATCAATTAACAAGTCGATTCACCATGATTGGAAAACTTGCGTGCCGTCGAGAAGTACGACATTGTTTTCTTGTTGAGTCGACTTTCGAGGTTAGACAAGAAGATGAGAATGTCTGCTACCCGCAATGAGGCTGTCACTGTCTTTGAAAATTAGAAGGGTGTTCAGGTAATCCATTCTTGAATGCCGAGTTAACGCCCTTCATACTGGGACTGCCTTATTGTGAGGAGCAGACGAGATGACAAGATCCTGTGTCTTATTTTGGGAACTTTCGTAGGACACGATGACGAGGTTACAGCTCTCATTTTCTTTTCGTCTTCTCTTATTATTGTCCCAATGAAATTGAATAGACGAGATCTGAGATATTTAACATTTGTCACGTGTTATCTTTTCTCTTAAAAACATAAGAAAGATTTCTTTTCATTCGAGCCCCCGTATTATATTAATCATTATAAAACGTAACCCTCGAATACTAACGAACGCAGTTTTAAAGTTCCCCTTTATCATATGTCAACAGCTTTTTATTTAAATGTCTTTCGCCACACGCGATACAATCACACAACCACAAAAACGAGCTTAAAATATTTTAAAAGCTCTGCAAAGAGAGAGAGAGAGAGAGAGAAAAAAAAAAACTCTAAATGGGAATGTGCCGTTTGTTAATCCCCTACATAGCTTCCCGGCAAAATTGCAATTTCATCACTTGAAATTATACATTTAAACAGGGTACCTTCGGATAAATTCGTCAACTCTCGGGAGGCGAATTCCGTCACGCTACTTCATAACTCCAGGGTATTACGCATCGAGCAGTCGGTTCCGACAAGTACTCTCGAAAGTGTTACGTATCATCTTAACCTCACATTCATTAATCTCTTCCTTTTCTTTTTTCTTTTCTTCGCCATCAGGTTTGTTGCGAGACCGATCGGGGGAATACTTGGCCTCGTTTATGGTTGCCTGTGGGATGACATTCGCTTCGACGCTTCTCTCTGTAATCATCGTGTTACTCCAGCGGTTCATTCCATGTCAACCAAAGAACCACGTGTTAACCTGAAGCTTGAAGACTGAACCTTAAAGACACATCCATGAGTCAGATCGGCCTCCATCGGGACATCAATGAACCACGAACCACGTGGTTATCTGACGCTTGAAAACTTGAGCTTTATACCTCGGTCACACGGCAATGCAGACCCTAACCGACCGGTAATCGATAAAATCTTGTCCTTGCGAGGGTGGGACTATTCTTTGTCCGGTCTGTCATCGGGTCTGGTTTGGTCGTGTCGGTATGACTGGGGTACGAAGACTTTTCTATGAGTCAGATCGGCCTCCATCTGGACATCAATGAACCACGAACCACGTGGTTATCTGATGCTTGAAACTTGAGCTATATACCTTAGTAGTATCTCCAGAACGACCCAAACCGACCCGAATCGACTGACGATGGGCAACACCTTGTTCTTGCGAGGGTATAGGTCTAATGTAAAAGTCTGTGTGCGGTCTGTTGTCGGTCTGGTTTCGGTCGCGTCGATATGACGATGATTACGAGTCAGATCAAAGAACCACGTGGTTATCTTTAAAGCCCGAAAACACATATTCACTAGTCATTCTGTCACCCCTGGGATAAAAAAAAACAAAAAAAAAACGTATTTTTCTCAATCCTGAAGACTCATTCATGAATCATTTTTCTGTCAACTGATGTCGAAAGAAAATGCAATGGTAAAGTCGTTGCTAGAGTCATTAAGCAGCTAAGAATTTTGAAAGACTCGTCCTCAGTTTTTAAACGAGATGCTTTGTTTTTGTGACAGGGATATTGGGCATTTGGTCATTCTGATCACATCATGCTGACATCAGAAGCCAGCTTTTAGAGCCCTATGATTGGATACATCATTATGCGTTAAGGTTGATTTAAGATCAAATTAAATCAGTGTGATGTTATTAGTTTCGTCTGAAATAGTGTATTGCCTGGGTGTAAACATTCTCCCACTGGATGGGGCTATCTGGTTTACACCATATAGGATGATTACATCACAGTCAGAGGCGGCACCCGGCTCTAATGTTAAAAGTGGGATGTGGTGCAGGGATTTGACTTGGGGGGGGGGGGGGGAATGCTCCCACACGTGCACCCTCCCCTTGGCCACCACTGATCACCGTAAATTGGCAAATAAAGGGATGCCAAGCATTAAACTGGTTGTGGGGCGGCCAGTGCCTTTTAATGTTATGCAATTTGGACAATCAGGTATTAATTTATATTGACCGAGTCAATTCGAACTATTTTGTCTATATTTGAAATTATAAGGCAGTGTATAAGTTATTCACTTAATCATGAGTCTGTTTTATGAAAGTGCACAATGATAGCATGCTACAATTCTAATGATTTACTGTTTTACATGGGCCAAGTGCTTTAAAACTCACCAGATGATTATTATATTCCTTACATAAACAAAGTTCTTTTTAAAGTCTGGTACAGACTTACACACAACACCACTGTAAGGGATCACTTTGAAAAAAAAGTGAATCAAATTTGTATTGATGCGTGGTACTGTTTGTAAGCATTTTCTTTGTTTAATTGGTAAACCTTACAAAATTTGTTCTAATGATAAATAGCAAAATAAACAAAGTCGTTTTATACTGAATTGTGAAATTGTCTAGAAGTGGCTAAAACCCAAAGTAACTTTAAATGACATATTGATGACAGTTGCAGGTATCAACGGGCACATCTAGGATTGTGTTTGAAGTGGGGATGGGGGGGGGGGGGACAAACATAATTCCTGATTCCCCTCCCCTTCTTAACCACTAGCCCTACCATGGAGGTTTACACTCAAGAATGTCTGTTTTCACATTATTTCATATAAGGAAGAATAAAGCGCACGCAGTTTTTTTTTCTAGAGAAATCTTAAAATATAAAATATAGTAATTGAGGAAAAGCTATATAAAAAAAAAAGATCAATGTCGCTCATTCGTCCAACTTTGTGATGCTTTACTACAAGTATGTATTCAGTCACATTCGTACTACATGTCAGCTAAAGCAAATACTGCATGTGCATTCACTTTTCTTGTCTTGAGATGTTCGTCTAATAGTAGAATGTACGGTTGCAAGTTTAAGTACAATCAGTAAATGTGTGGTAATTATGTTGTGGAATAAATGAAGTAATATTATCATGTCAAAAGAGATTATTTACATAAACATTCAGTTGAGATCAAATGCAGGAAGACTTGTAAATATATTTATAGTGTATTGATAAGTTTATCAATAATATTATGTGTAATAATGATTATTGCAGAGTATACCTTGCTATTTAAGATGTAGAAATTATTTAATGCAATCGTCCGCAAATCAATATTTTTTGACAGCGTATATATTTGATTTTTAAAGAAATAAAAACCTTTCTTCCTTTATAGCACAATTATTTTTCATTTTGTTAATAATTTTGTTGATTGATTGAATGATTTGTTGGTTGATTGACTTATTGAATGAATTATTGATTGATTGATTGGGTGCTTTGCTGATTGGTTGATTGGTTGATTGGTTGGTTGAATAATTGACTGATTGATTGATTTGTTGGTTGATTGACTTATTGAATGAATTATTGATTGATTGATTGGGTGCTTCATTGATTGGTTGATTGGTTGGTTGAATGATTGACTGATTGACTGATTGATTGATTTGTTGGTTGATTGACTTATTGAATGAATTATTGATTGATTGGTTGCTTCATTGATTGATTGATTGACTGATTGGTTGGTTGATTAAATGATTGACTGATTTAATGTTTGATTGGTTCATTGATTGATTGATTTAATTGATGAATGATTGAAAGGACCAGAGAGATATAGGGAGAGAGAGAGGGGAGAGAGAGAGAGAGAGAGAGGGGGGGGGTGGGAGAGAGGGGGTGGGAGAGAGAGAGAGAGAGAGAGAGGGGGTGGGAGAGAGGGGGTGGGAGAGAGAGAGAGAGAGAGAGAGGGGGGGGGGGCTGACATTTATAGAGTGTGAAGACATGATTAGGTTTGGAGATCCGGGTGTTTGACCAATCAATCTCCAATTTTTAAAAGTTTGAGAAAAGTGCCCCTCTAGGGATGATATTTACCCCCTCAATTGAACAAAGGACCCCGCCCCCGAGACTGACGCAATCGATGTCCCTTAAGAGGTGAATTTGCTCCCTTTTATCTGACGTATAGGCTAGGCCTATCCTATGACAAAAAAAACACATTTAAATCTATGGCATTTCTTTCCCCGACAGAAAATAATATCCTAATATGAAAGCCCCCCCCCCCCCCCCCGAAAAGAAAAAATGCTTATAAGTTATAGGCGATGTTACCTTTGCGGAAGTCAGAAAATTCCACATTGAGTAAGTTACCCGATAAGGGTAGATCAAGAAGGGAAGAAATCGATGCAGGGTGCCCATCAGGCAGTTGAAGAAAGGGCACTTTTCATTTTCAAGAGATGTGGTCTTTATTGTTCGAGAGGCTGATAAGAAGCTTTCTATTAACAAACAAAAAAGGAAAGTAGCCAACCCTTTATGGAGAATGACCCAATCCCGGAAACCACTCCAGTAATTATGAAACCCACATGAGACTATTGTAGTCCCCGCAGTCGTCACATCTAGGGGTTGCCCCAATCCCTGGATTAACATGTATAAGTGCTAGCCGATTGAGCATATGCCCCGAATTCTGAAGACGAACGCCCCTGGAGGTTTTAACGTTTTTAAATTAAAACGCCTGATTCATTACAGAAAAAGAACTGAGTGAAATTTTGATTTTCTCACAGTCATTACTAATTTGTGTTTCTGGTTACCTTTTTTGTTGTTAAAACGATTCCGTATTTATTAATACCCTGCGGGGGAGGGGGGGGGGTCACGGTCAGACATGTTAGATTAAAACATAGGTTCATAGGACATCCTCTTTAAAAACGAAAGTCTTTAAGCCAAATACTTTTTAAACCCATAAGTAAAAATCCATGGCTGACCAAGCCACTGGCAAGATCGATACCCGCCGCCCCCTCCCCCCAGAACAAAAAAAGACGAAATGAGGATTTGGGTTTATGGATTTGGGCCCACGGTTCGATCATGGACCTAACACAGTCCTTGGTGCACTTCAACAACACAGTATGACTGTGAGAACTAATCCCCAAAGCTACTTAATAATATAGTCCATCTTGTCAATACTATGATTTTGCGGGACGCCATCTCTTTAGTCAAACTCCTTGCTCAGCTAGCTCACACCATGCTCACACTGCACTGCATGCAGCGCACACATTATATACGTCTGTTGTTTGGATACTACGTCATTGTATTGAGACTACTAAGCAATAGCAAAACACAGACATCAACATGGCCGATCACTGTTTTGTGAATATGGATGAAACCATGACGCATTCGGAAGGCTAACGTCGCCAATCCTAACGGAATATCTTTGGAATTTTTACGCGAAAGTGGTGCAAGAGAGGAATATTTGCTTGATCATGGGGCAGAAAGTGAGTTCTAGTCCTAGGACGGTATATGGTGCCGGAGTTGGTGGGCCTGACTCGCCTGGTGGTTCAACAGCCAGTGGCGGGTATCTCTCTATCGGTAACTCCAACGGACATCACAATGGAGCCCGTCTTTATACGAGCGCATCCTCGTCTACAAATGGACAAAGAAATCGTGCTCGGTCTTTAGGCAGCACGAGTACTCATTCAAATGGACAAGCGATGAATATACCAGGGGGGTCAGGGGCAAGTAGAGGCCCCGACTCGGACCCTAGTTCATCAGAGAACAGTGCCCCTAGCTCGGGGTCGGGAGGGGGCAGCGGCAGTGGTAGTAGTACCAGTGGTGCAAGTGGATCAGGGGGTGGGGGAGGAAGGAGTAGGGGAAGAAGTTTCCCTTTCCATGCTCAGTCTCTACCTACACATCTATTTGCTCCGGCTTTATTACAAGGTTAGAAATAAATTCGTAACATTTTATTTTTTTAATCTATCTTACATGATATTGATTATGTTTTAAAAAGTTATCATCATCAACATCATCATCCTCATCATCATCATCATCATCATCATCACCACCATCATCACCATCATCATCATCATCATCATCATCATCATCTTCGTCATCATCATCATCATCATCATCATCATCATCATCCTCATCATCATCCTCATCATCGTCATGATATTCATAATAATAATAGTAATGATAATGATAATGAATATAATAATGATAAATGATGATAATAAATTATTGTTATCTATCACTATTATTATTGTTGTTAATATTAAAAAATTGATGCAATCATTAATATATTTTAACATAATTAGTAATGCAATATGAATATTATTGGACTGGATTTGATCTGTCATCTATAGTTATTGTTTTGTAAGATATACACTGTACAGTATATCACATTTATGGACAATTCAGATTATATCTAACCTCCCTTCATTTTCACTCTAAACTTGCTCTAAAGTTGTTCTAGTTGTATTAATAGGCCAGCCTATGTATGTATAAGTTAGTATTATCATGACTAAGGCCGTACATGTGCATGTACATGTACACGTAGCCCTACCTGCAATAATCTACAGACTGGAAGCATGGTGAAGGGCTGAAGGCAGATGAACCATGATAGTCTGAAACTACATGTATTGTGAATATACACGTACCTTACATCATACATGTACATATACATGTACATATGATGTTGCATTCTACTAGAGGATTTATTATACACCGTTGCCAATAAAGTTGGAATAATTTCCTACTTATCTCTTTTCATTAAGTGGTTGAGACCATAGACTAATAATACTTTGTTCTTTTATAGCGCATTTCATGTCTGTTGACATTTCAATGTGCTACTCAGAGCTTTATATTGATCAATCTAAAGAGTCATAGAGATTGTTTAACACAGTTATGAGAAGATGAACTTTATCTATCAAGAATTATTAAAGCAATAAGCATGTTTGTATGTTTATTTTTACTTTTGGGAGAGGGGCCTTCTTTTGTTTATATTTTGATTTGTCTTCATTTATATATAGGGGGGGGGGGTACATACATGTAATTGATTGCTTTTTATGCAAAATGGTATTATTCCTTTGAAATTATTTCCCCTTTCAAAACAAAACAAAGAATATAAGTGACCTTTATTTGACATTACAGTTAAAGTGGATTGTTGTTGTTGTTTTGAAATGGTTTGAAATTATGAATATATTACTAGTATAGATTAGAGATAAACTTGAGTTCTGGTAAAAAAAAGAAAATTAATTCTCACAGAATCTAACAAAACTTACACTGAATGTTCAAGATTACGAATAAATGTCATGTGCCAAACAATTTTGGAAGAAAATGTATACTGGCTGAGTAATGAGCATATAAGATAAGGAAATCAGGGTAGTACTAGCCCCGACACCATGTGTGTTGTCCCATATACATCTTTCTGTGTAAGTGATTGTTACTTTACCAAGACTCTGCCAAATTTATGATGATTTTGATGACTCCAGAACCTTGCTTTACACACCATTACTTACATGCTATATGATCAACTTTTCTGATCCATTCCACACCTTTTCTTTCACAATGCAATCGCATTACCAGAACTCAAGTTTATCTTTAATCTTGAACTGAAAACAAAAGCCTTTGGTACATCTTTCCCATTATGAATACAATGTGGCACAGGGAGATTATTTGTATGGCATATAAAGAGTTAATTCATACGGTTATACTGGTACAGAGCCAAGCTCATTATGGATACGTGGAGGTGAGACCCTGGAAACCACTTTTTAGATCAATATGTCTCATGATGACATTCCCTATTATCCAATATCATATATGATTATGCATGTACCTGTACTGTAGTACAGAGGTGATCAGGGAAAGTGAAAGAGAATATGGTAATAAATGTACTTTCAGTAGACTGATTCATTTATACTTTATACAGTTGTTGTCTTGTGTAAAACTATTTTGTGTCAATTCTATTTACAAGAGGAGACCAATCATCCGAAAAATATTTAGCTGATTTTGCTCTGTATTGTTTACATTGATATCACCTTCAAATGTACTTGTAACTTCAGTAACAATAATGATAAAAATAATGTGTTATATAACGCATTTTCCATATGTGCATTCAAATGCGCATAACAGTATTGTTCACAGAAGAGGTGAGTTTTTAGATATATTTTGAAGGTATTGACTGTTGGATTGTTGGTCACGAAGAGATATGGGTAGGTTATTCCACATTTTGGGAGCAGCAGATGTGAATGCTGTATTACCAAGTGTGGGTAGCATGTTGGGAGATGAATGGTTCAACGTGATGCCTTGAGAGGAGCGAAGGGAGTAATGGGTTGGTTGCGTGATGTAAAGACGATAGGGCAAATATTACTTCTAAATGGAGGTGAAATTGACTTGTGAAGAGATAGTTGACACACAAATATCCATGCATGTACATGGAAGTTGACTTCTACTACATGTACCTAGTCGTTTCCATAGGAGCCCTGATATGATAGTTTCCCTGAAGGTTATGGCCTTTAAATGTAAAACCAATAAAAAAGAGCACAGAGCACTTACTTATATGGGCTCAATAATGATTTAATGATATGACCTCAAACCCAAGGGAAATGGTAGCCTACATTTGTTCCCTTCTTTCTGTCTAATGTATTGCATTGGCAGAGGATAAACATGTGTAATGTGGATCATCATTAGCTACAGTGTACATGTACAGTGTACATATCACTTCTGTTAATTTGAATTGGTATTTGAATGTTTTTCCAAGTCCTTTTGTTGACATCAGATCATTGTAAGTACAGCTGAAGCAAAATGAATTGTTTATGGTCACTACGTGTGCTTTACATTGACACTGAAGGCCAGTGAGAATAAAGAAGGGATGAGGGAAGTGATAGCAGAGTTGCTCTTTAGAAATCATTTCTTGGTAGAATCTGCCATTTATAGACCATTTCTACATGTACATGTAGATCATTTCTTTTTGGGGAAGATAATTTCAACTCCAAAGTATGATTTACAAGGCCTTCCATCCCTTTCGTCATCTTTACCTGTGTTCTGTGCAAGACATTATTTCTATAGTATTCTTCTATTGTCAAGAACATTAGCTAGGACCTTTCCAAATGATATTTCCTGTTGGGCTAAGATGATAACAGTATTCTACTGGTATTACATTTTTATTCTGCTTGACTTCATTATTGTGTATTACCGGTAAACAAAAACATATTAGATGTATCCTTCTCTGGAATTTGCAACATAATTCATAATAATAGAACTATTGAGTAATTGATTAAATGTAATGTAGAATGTAATGGAAATTTCTTTCTTGTTCAGATATTAAAGATAATGCTCAACATTTATAAACAAGTTGAAGAAATTATGACTTATAAAGGGGGGCTGGTGATATATATTTTTACTTTAATGAGTACAAAAATAACGATTGTACATTTAAAAATCCATTCTTAGTTACACACTGTACATGTTAGCCAATGGCAGGGACCCTGGAATAACTGATGTTATAAGTACAACCAAGGAGTTTCTTGGTGTAACTAATAATTGTATTTCCCACATTGCATTATTTCTCTACAGGTTACATGCAAACAAAGACCTACACAAAGTACAGTAGACAGCAGCGAGTGTGGTGCATTGTAGTGCATTGCGGGGTCCCTCATGATGCAGTACTATGACCTTGCCTATTTATACCAGGGCACAATCAAGCAATGTCCTTGGCTTGTGATAAAAGCTCATTCAGGAAGTGGCTGCTAAAAGTGCTATTCCTATCTACTGCCAACCAAAATGTAACGTATTTCCTGTTCAGACTTAAGAAAATTAATATGAACAATCATATTAAAGAAACGTTTAAAGAATTATCATATTTTAAACAAAGGGAGCGTACACACTAGGAAACGGTATCGTAAAGAAATGTCGTATCTATAGAGAAACTATTGATGGCAGTTGATATGACAGCCAGTCAATCATCAGTGCATGCTCGTAATAATCCCTGCTCAGTTAAACGATTTTCGGATGATACACCGTTCGCTCTAGAAGGGGATGCTGATTCTATATCAAATTTTCATTTGAAAGGATGATCAAATGGCCGTTTCGCCATACAATGTTTGTTCATACCACGTTCAGAGTAGAAATACAGTGTTACTTCTTATATACATGTGTAGCTATTACAGCATGTACAATGTATACAATGACATTTTGCAGTCTGAATACACGGGGGGGGGGGGGGGGATACGTGGTAAGGGTCCAATCACAGCTTTATGAGTTCCATACACTGTAATTTCTCATGCTACCCTATGGATGGTGCTCAAGAGTCAGAGCCATTAAGGGTGACCTTTTGACTCCCTGCAAATTGATTGAATAATCCTGGCATCCAATATGATAACAAAAGGATGATATGCCAAATATGAAATTCAGTTGCTGAATTTATCAGATATCAAGTGAGTATGATAATGGGTTTCCATGGAGAAATGATGAAGGCCATGACAAAAGTGGAAATTTTATCTGCTGAGAGTGAGAGCATCAAGGGTTTTAACTCTGTATGAAATTACACGAGTTGGTGTCTGTCTGGCTCACGGGAGATGATATATTTCACTATCTGTATCGTTATCATATTAATCTGGGCAACGTGCAAGAAAAAGGGTGCAAATTAGATGAAAGAGGATTAGATTGTGGGTAGCGGAAGCTGGTAAAGACAGTGTATGGAGTGGAGGGTTCGTCGTATCCTTGACTGATCTATTTTATTGTTACAGCCTTGTAATATGAAATACTGTAGGCTCTTGATGAAGAATTAATGAGCATGTACCCAGTAAGCTGCTGGTATTTCAAGAGATAGTTTAGTTAAAAAATATCTACTATAGTTTTTTATTGTGAAAAGGTACATTTACATGTATGCCTTTGAATGGGGGGGGGGGGGGGGCTTCCAGTGCTGGTCATGATGAACA